AGGCTCGTCCGATACTAAACACAAAGCTGGATAAATGGTATAAATTCATTCCTGCAAGCAAATTCATGTGGCTGGACTTCATTTATTATGAAAATAAATCAGTGTGTGTCTGCACAGATGACCTCTTGGTAAGTCCCCCATGATATTTAAGGTCATTACCTTTCCTAGAACAGACTGGTAAATTAAATCTTAGTGGCATCACTATCATGAGAGTATTTTCCCTAGTACAGACAGTCCTTCCAACCCCTTGATTTCCAACACAAAAGATCACTGTCAGTCTCTTCTCCCTGACATTGTTTTGCTTCTGAGGTTTAAGGCTGTGAACCTGAGATAAAGGTATATTTGAGCACCTTCTGAATTTCTCAACCTTTATTGCTCTCTTAACCTTGCTTCTAAAGTGATGAAGATGGAAAACTTCTGGCAAATTAACAAGGTTACATGCATCCTTCTTCAAAGCTATTTTTGGTTTTCACCTACAAAGGATTTATTTTGCCATTTATAAGTTTACCTGGATGCTATTTGACTTGAGTTTTTTCATGTGGCACAAGGGAAGTCAGAAAGAGCTGAATGCAGGTGTTCTGGAGCCTATAAATAGCTGGTTTTAAGGCCTTATGCATTATTTTTCTACTTAAGTGCTCCATTCAAAGAAGCCCAGCTCAGCTAGATTAGCCTGGACAGACTGAACTGTCTTTCAGAGGTTTCTCAGCTGTCTTTGCATTTATCACAAGTCCTTCACTAACTGTCACAACAGCTATATGACTTGACTAGGTTCAGTAGCACCTTTTACCTGCATTTGTAGACAATCTCATAGAATCATTGAAAGGTTTGGGTTGGAAAGGACCTTAATATCACCTAGTTCCAACCCCCCTGCAGCATCTTAATTTCCAAGCCTATTTTCAGATGCACCTTTAAACTATCTATAGCAGGGTGTTTTGATAGTCTGTTTTGTGCATTTTAAATTACACATGCCAGCAAAAAGGCTAAAGATTAAAAGAGTTACTAACCTTCAGATGATATAGAATATAAAAAATGTTTCTCTTCAAAGGCAGTTTCACTCTCTGGTGTTGTTTCTGAAGAAAGAACCAGGCTGCACAAGTTTCAGTGGAAGTTTTCCTGTTTTAGGCATAACTGAAGTAATACTTTTATACCATTAGAAAAGTAGTCAGTCTTAAGTACGATGTCAAAACGCCTCTTTGCATAAAGGGGTTGACAGCGATAGTCTGTTGCTGAGTGCTTTTAGAGTTACATATATTCAATAGCTTTTAATTGCTTAACCATCTGAATATTTTGTGTCATTCAACATGCCAAATTCATTTTAAAATCTCTCCAAATAATGCAGGTTGCAGAGCTGTGCAGGATTCCTGATGTCTATTCTCCTCTTCATCCGCACTCTGGCAGTGTTTCTGGAGAACACAGTCTTTTCAACTTTGTCAGAGAATATGAATTCTATTCTTTTGGAGTTTTTTCCTTTGCCCCACTGCAAAAAAAGAGGTGATTTCATTCTTTGAGAGATCCTGCCTCACAGCTGCCTCTTCTGCACCAAGAACACTCAGCATCTGTGAAAAAATGCTGTTCTGTTGACTTCAGTAGGGAAATTACCACTGCTAGCAGCAGCTGACCAGAGGGGATTTAAACTGGCAGTTTGGCTTGCACCTGGTTTTGCTCCAGCACTTCTAACAATCCATGCTGCATGCATTGCACCAAAGCAATCCCATCGCTTTCCTTAACTTTAGGCAAGTATGATGAGATAGCTTGCAACACCCTTTGGTTGCTATATTGCAAGCAAAGCCCTCCTTTTATTGTACTTTAAACTGAATAAAACCCCAAACTAATGGCTGTGCCTTGGGGTGGATCCCCCCAGTGTGGATCTGGGACACATGCCATGCAGTGAGGACACAATCTGCTCTGCCCCAGAAGATGCTGTACCTGCAATGGGGACCATAGCCCAGGTTGTGGCAGCCTTTTCGCAAGCAGAATCACCGTGCATCACAGGAAACATGACATGCTGTGGGCTCTGGTGTGGGGAATGGGAGCAGGGAAAAGGGGTACAGCAGGAAGGGACCCCTCAGTTTCAGAGCCTTGCTTTATAAGCAGGGCAATATTTTGAGTGACTCAAGGTGGTGCCTGGTCCTGGGCTGAGAGCTCCTTATGGCTGCACTTAGGAGCTGTTTGTGTATAATCCCGAAGTAAATACACGTGCTAGTAATCTGCTATAGATTTCTCTGCACTCCAAATTTAAGTGCTATTAATTATATCCCCCAATCAGAAGCCTCCACAAACTATTAATTAGAAATGGGGAGCTGACGGTTTGCTTGTCTGTGTGAAAATGTTATGACCTGAGAGTGAAATATAAGCTTCAAAAGAAACATGTTTTATGAAGGTCACCTTGGAAAAGCATCATAACAATCTGTCAGGAGAAGAGAATGCAGCTCTCCAAGTGTGTGCATTTCAGTGTGACATTATGCTTTAAGTAGTTGGAAATAGCAAAGAGAAGATGGATCAGATCATAGGGCCTGTGCTTTCTTACCCGAAGTTTTCTTTTTTTCTGCGGTAAGTACATATGAAGTAATTTTTTTGTCATTTCAGTGGAAAGTGAGGAAAGTAAAATCAACAGAAATCCAACAGACAAACATAATCTGGCCCTTGCTGGTATTTTTTGAAGTGTGGAACATGCAGACCCACCACCTCTGCAGCAGGGAGGTGGTTTATACACAGGAATTAAATTACCTCTTCAAGGGAAAATAGAAGCAGCCAGAAGTAGTGCAGCAACTGTGTACAGCAGTAATACCTGCCCTAGAAGGCTTAGGGCAAAAGGCTTCCCTAAATAAATGTGGTTTGCTAATCCTTTCTGGATGAAGCATGTCATTATCCTTATGAAAACAAACAATGCTGCAATAGGGTTAGCTACGGTTATAAGTGAAATGTCTTCCTCTTGTTAGCGGCCAGCCTAAACACAATGTCCCCCTCGCACCAAATTCCAGGGCTCTATTTTGAGGCTGTAAGTAGTACTGTGCTGAAAGTTATACACCTCATTCTCTGGACTTCCATTTCCTTATAGGTAGCCATTTAATTCAGCTGTCAGGAGCACACGCATTCCATCCAGCACCGCTTGGATCCTGTAATTGTAGCTACAGTTGAAACGTCATGGCCAGAGACACAGACAAGACTGTACCGCACAAAGGCAAAGCATCAACTGTTACTGTTAGCAAAGAAAGCTGACAGAGGGCCACATGTTCTCTGAACTTGCACATCCAGCAGCCTGAATGCTTACCTGGGCTGTCTGATCCATTCCTGATCCATCATTAAGCTTTGTGTGTGTCACATTGTATGAGAAGAAAACGGGGAAAGCTGAGCGTAACTGATGGACATTGTGTCCCAGGATCTAGGATAAAAGAGTGGAGGTACAGGACAATGCTGAGCTTCAGATAAGGGTGATACCGACTATGGTCAAGTACTTTTTTTACCCAAACC